TGATAATTCTGTGGTTCAGTTATTATCCCCATCACCTATACTGAAAAATTTTTACCCCCATCTACGAATTTGCCTCTGAAGATAGTTCTCAAGTCGTCGTAACCTTCCAGTTATCCAATATATGAACTGACATATATTTGAGTTGTCCTCAAAATGAAATAAATTGTGTAAGAGAGATGGGGAAAGGAAAAGAAGGGAAATAGAGTGTGGGATATAGGAGGGCTGAACATGTGTAGGTGGGTGAGGAAAATCCCTATTTATGAGAATGGAATTTATTATTTTGTTCACTTTTAATTACAGTAGGTACTTAAAGGACAAAAATATTTTCTAATCAGTCATAAGCATATGTTGGGCCACCCATGACTATTCATTATTCAGGGACTTTGTATGAAATCTATTGATGAATACTATATTTTAGGTTATGTTCTAAATCAGACTCTCTTAAGAATACAGTCAATCTTTAGCTACATCAACAGTCAAATAACACTTGTAATTATAAAATTATGGCATGTATAAAATATTCTTTATATGAGAAGTCAAAGACTGGTAAGTACATATGTCATTAGGGCCTAAGTAACTCCTCATAAGCGTCAGAAGAACACTTGATAGAAGTTTTAAAAATTAAAGATATGACTCCTATGTTGTTATTGATAGACCATGTAACTTACCTTTTCAAACCAAGTTCTGCTATCCTTTTAAAAGTTATCACAATGCACATAGTGATCTTTTAAAAACATACATATGAGCTCATAGTCCATTGCCAGATTTTAGTGTGTGTATGTTATTACTATTAAATAAAATCCAAACTACTCATTAATATGACACACCTTGCTACCCATCTGTTGTGGTTTAAATTGTGTCCCCCAAAAATATACATTTAAAGTCTAATCCCTAAAACCTGTGAACATGAACTAATTTAGAAATAATTACCTCTTTGCAGGTATAATTAAGATATAAGATGAAGTCATAATGGTTAATCCAAAGAGACTAGTATCTTCTGACAATACAAGTGCTGCAGCTATAAAGTAAGGATTGCTGGCAAACCACTAGAAATTATAAAGAGGAAAGGCTCCAATTGTTCAGAGGAAGAATGAAATCTGATGACAACATGATTTCAGATTTCTATGCTTTAGAACTATGAGACAATAAATATGTTGTCTTTTTTTTTCAAAGTTGGGGGGGTTGTCTGGGCACTGAACCCAGAGGGATTTTACAACTAAGTTACAACCCCAATCCTTTTATTTTGAGACAGTCTTAATTGTTTAGGGTCTCACTAAGTTGCTCAAGCCTTCAACTTGAGATCCACTCGCCTCAGCCTCCCAAGTTGCTGGTATTACATGCTTATACCACCACATCCAGTTACATTTCTGTTGTCTTAAAAACACCAATTTATGGTACTTTGTGATAGTCACCCTAGGAAACTAATAAACCATCTTTACAGTCATATTATTTCCTCCACTTCTACATAGTCATAATTTGAATACTTTTTTTTTAAGTTGTAGTTGGACACAATAACTTTTTATTTATTTATTTTCATGTGATACTGAGGATCGAACCTCGCACATGCTAGGCAAGTGCTCTACCACTGAGCCATAACCTCAACCCCTGAATACTTTGATTTACTGGAACATGCCATCTTTTTTTGCACATGGAAGTCTCTCCACCTATATGTCCTTTCATAAATTAGCAACCACTTGAACTTCTCTTCATTCAAATAACAGCTTCTTTATAAAGCTTTCCTCTGATACTCCTAAAGAGTTAAGTACTTGCTTCTTAGTGTTCAAAAGAGCACTTGATTCCAGGAATACTGAAGTACTAAGCACAATACAGTCATTAATTTTTTCATATCTAATCTTCCTAACGGAACGAGCCCTTGGTGGACAGGAACCATAATTTGTCTCCCTAGAGCCTGACTATTGACACTTAAGTATAAAGTTAAGGAGTTATACTGATTCAAATAATTTAAGAGTAACCAAGAGATAACAGATATTAGCTTTAAACCATAGCATTCAAAGCACACACAAAATAGCACCTACCTACTGACAAATGAACACTTACTATAAATTACACCATCAGTGAGTACACACATCACTGAAGAATAGCAATGAAGAACAACAAACAGTACTTACTGGGGGAGTTTTCTGAGAAAGCTCTCTATTCAACCTATCAGTAAAACTCTGTATTAACGTGTTTCCTCCTGCCACTATCACACTGCCATACAGACCCTAGGTTAAAAACAAGAAAAATAAATTAGTTTCAAACATTTCCAACAGTTTTGTTATTATTTGATGCTGGAGACTGAACCCAATCTTCCAAGAGTTTGAAATATGACAACAAATAAAGCCAAATCCTCCAATATAATTTTCTCTTCCTTTCTGCTTTTGAAAATTTGTAATTTCTACGTAGAAGCAATTAACTTCAACCAGTGGGTCTCAATCTCAGCTGCACATTCAACTCACCTGGGGAGCTTTTATACTACCAATGCACAGGAACAATTAGATAAAAACCTCTGGGTATGGAATCCAGAAAAGGGTTTTGTTTATTAAAAAAACTCTCCATGTGACTAACATACACTAAGGTTTACAAAATGCTAACTTATAACAATTATTTTAAAAATCATAACTATTTGGCAGACAGCTACCAATATTTGTTTAGAGGTACACTATATAACTTCACCTTAGAATGTTCATCTGAAAGTTATGATATTAAATATTTAAAATTAGACAACTGAGATTATTTTATGATTATGGATGGACAATATTCCTGGCCAGAATGACTGCTATCTTTCTTTTGCAGGGGTGTGCATCAAAACCTCAGCAGTAGCTTTTTCAGAATACACATAATGATGCCTCCCAAATAAAAACAAATTCTTATTTTTAAGGAATATATTTATACTTAATTTGCATGTATGCACCAAAAAGTTAAGTATCAACCTGGCTTCCTAGTGGCTGAATTCCTATTTTAAAAACTTACTCCAAATAACTACATCATCTAAGTTTTAAAACAGAAAATGCAATGTAAAAGCATCTCCTTTGCAATCAACATTAGATAAAAAAGAAATTTCACTAAACACAGAAAGTTATCACTCTTAGAGTGAATATACTTTAATTGCTTTCTCCCACCTATTAAGAGGCCTTGGATTTCCACTAAAAAGTTCCAAACTTATACTTCTTTTGTTGTAGAAGCAGCACATGCCTGCTAGGTCACTAGGTGAAATAAAGAATGATTTTCATAGTATCCCAAAAGCCTTTTTGAACAATAGTTTTTAAACATCCTTAGCTAATAGCATCATGCTCTAAGCAAATTAACTCAAAGAAAATCAAGGCAGTATATGTGAATCTAGGTTTTAATAAAGTCTAATTAATCTAACAATTACTATCACATTAAATCAATAATACAGTATAGAATATGTAGTTAAGACTTGGCAAAGCACAAAACATGAAGATCGTCTAAAATGAACTCCATATAAGTTACAGAATTTAAACCACACCCTCCTGAAAAACAAGCACAGAAGCTGGGCTATATGCAAGAAAAATCATGAATAATATATATTTTGATTTTTCCACATTTTAGGAAATTTGTATAGCAACACTGTCAAGAAAATTTTCTGTAATGATGAAACTGTTCAGAGTATATGCATTGTACAATGCTGTAGCCACAAGCTACATTTATACTGGTATTAGTACAATTGAATAACTGAACTACTATTTATTTAATATAACTTGCCATGTGTGAATAACAGCTACCATAGTGGACACTACAATGCTAGAATTTTGCATTTTTCCTTTCCTAGTATTTCATCTTTTTTTTTTTTAAAGAGGCATCAATGTTTTACTAACTTATAGGCAAATACTAAAATAGTCAATAATACCACAGAGTACAGCATTTACATATGCCATTACAAAATGGATTTCACAGTCAATAGTCAAAAGCTGCCAACCTAACAATGATCTGGAGGCATTTCACTGTTCTAAAAGATACCCTTGTATTGTAACAGGAGACAGTCACTTACTGGTCTGATATCAATATCACACATTCCAACACTTGTAGTGACAACATGACTGACTCCTAACATTGTATTTCCTGACAGCCCCTAGAACAAAAGAAAACAAATATTCACATGGAAGGACTTCATACAG